GAGGCATGCAATAAAATGTTAAACTACAATGTTAATAAATATGTTCTTATATTATATCACAAGCAAATATATCATTAAATGGTAAATGGACTGTACCTATATAGCACCTTTCTATACTCAGAGCTCTTTACACTACACTATGTGCCTCATTTACCCATTCATACAGAAGTCTACTAGATTAGAAAGCTAATTGAACAAATCATTCTAAAGAGACTAATCAGTGCTTTATCACAGTCATACACCGATGGGACACACATCAGAGGCAATGAGAGGTTCAGTGTCTTGCCCAGGGACACTTCAGCATGTGACTGCTGGTGGATTCGAACCCCCAACTCTTGCTTTGGAGGACAACTCCTCTAACCATATCCTGATGCATGCTCAAACTCATCTAACCACTCAGCCACAGATGCCCTATTATATTATTATACAAGAAAATTGCTCTAAAACAATCAGTAGGGAAAAAATAACGGTCTTTACATTTTAAACTCCTCTCCTATCAGATGAGCTTCCAAGTCCAAATATGAGTGCAGGAAAGGGAATTCAGAACTACTATGTGTTTTGCATAGAAATGGCCCACTGGTATAATTAGAGAAACAAAAATTATTAAAGTTTAATCACAGGAAAGCAGTTAAAAAAAAAAAAAAATGTAGCCAGGAGCCTTACCAAAGATGTCCATCTTCATTTTCTACTGGGGGTTAACACCACACTAACAAACCAGCACCCCAACATTTTGAATTGCTTTTCATTGTCTATCAATTAGGGATGCTTAGTGTGAAGCAATTTGTGTCACATTAGTCACTTTTGAGATATTTAAACATCAGAATAATTAGCTTAACAAGGAGTTTTAATTAATTATAATATTAAGAATCTAAATAATATTAAAATGATCAATGCTTTCATCAGTAGAAGATGAAAAGCACATGTAATCAAGGTGATACTATCAATCACTCAGCAAGACCCCACGACAAGTTACGAGAAGGTTCAATAAAAGCATCACATCAGTGTCTCCTAGGTACTTCATTTGAACAGGACACACACACACACACACACACACACAATAAGCTTTGCTTTAGAGAAAGGTGGCAGGGTGCTGTTTTGAGTGTCTCTGCTCGATTTACCAGAGGTGATAAAATATTTAGCAGATTGCGTACATAGCCAAGAGGGAGAGAGGGAGAGGCAAAAAGAGAAGGGGATACCCAAATGGCTCGTGTGGGAGGTGGGGAGCTTGTAATGAGGATGACATGCTGGTATCATTGTTGCAGTGTACAACATCTCTACATGGCATATCTGCCACAGCAGACTTCATAAACACACATTATGCCACCTCTCAGTAATTAAAACACATACATAAAGAAAAGGCTATCAGGCACTGAGAGTTTCTTACACATAAACATAATCTGGACCTAAAGATTATGTCTGATTTACTTAATAAAATATGATGCTACTCCGTTCTGGTTTGCTTTTAGTGGTAAGAATCATTCATAGAATTGGCAAAGTAAAAAAAAATTAAAAATCCTGTGTATCTGTTTATCCATCCAGCCATCCATTATATTTACCTGCTTCTTCCTTTCATGGTTACGGAGATCGCCTGTGCTCATATTCACTTGTCACTGTGTGAAATGCGGGGGACACCCTGGACATGTCTCCAGTCCATCACAGGGACACATAGAGACAAACAAGACAAACAACCATTCACTCTCTCACTTACAACTAGGGACAATTTAGAGTTACCAATCAGCCTAACATGCATGTTTTTGGTCTGTGGGAGGAAACTGGAATACCTGGAGAAAACCCACACATGCACGGAGAGAACATGGAAACTCCACCCAGAAAGGTCCCTGGTCGGGATTTGATCCGGCGACTTTCTTGCTTACAGGCAACAGCTCTACCAACTGATCCACCGTGCAGCTCTGTATCTGTTTAAAGTAGAATAATGATGTTGAATCCAACAAAAGAAGCATCTTACCTATCTTTGGAGAAAGAGTCTCCAAAGTCTAAAACATTCATGGGGGTTTTCAGTTTTCTCACGAGCCACAGACAGTTGCAGAGTGTGCATATCAAATCCCTTTGAAACCATTCTCCAGATGTATTCTATCAATCTAAAGCGGTAGAACTGATATTTGACACCTACACCAGAGCTGTCCTTTTGACAGAAAACATCCATAGTTATATAGCCCTGAATTTCCAGGTCTAAAGAAAGTTTAAACGTCATTTATATATTTATCACATCATGTACCACATGTGATGCGGATGACAATAAAGTCACCTTGAACCTTGAATCTTAAATCTTATTGATATTGGCAGGATTGATGTTTGATATTGTTTTGACTTTCAGTATGCCACTCCCATTCCAGAAGTGCATTTCTACTAGATGGGACGCAGCAAGATCAAATGTAAACATTTGACAGAAGAGCAGATTATTATTTTGTCGATTTCAATTGGACAACTTCAGAATTGATGCACATGCAAACATGTGTATCATCCATATTTCTGACAGGAAGACAGGAAGTTGTGTGTAATGTATTTTGTGCATGCAGGTTGTTTCAGGGCAATACATGGATGAATAGAAGGCATTTGTTTCTTTTGTTTGTTAAAACAAGTCCAGACTAATCATCTTACCAATACAGTTCCAGCCATTGCTGTAAATACTTATGCCAAGCATGCTATAATTAATGCAACTGACAGGTCAATTTCATGCCCAGGAGTTATTTTGGAAGTTATTTTAATAGGAAAGAAGAAGAAGAAAAATAATAATAATAAATAATAATAATAATA